CATATTAACTCATAAGTTATGGAAAACCAAAAGTTTTCAAGAGTTACAAAACTTGCCCTCAAGTTTTGGTATTTGAAAAGTCTCAAATTATGAAATATGGATTTCTAAAATTCTTGTAATTAAAAAGTGCAACTTTTGGGTTCATAACCTAAAAATTAATGAAATAGTTTTAATTTTGAATTTTTATATTTAGAACCTTCAAGTATTTGAATAGTTCAAATTGCACCTTATAGACTTTATTAAATTAATTAAAGTGTTTAATGAAAAGAGAGTTAATAATTCCATAATGACATGTTTTAAGTTTAATTAAATTAAAAGTGTAGTTTTATTAATAGATTAAACCACCAAGTATTTTAAAAGTTTAAAATATACACTTATACTATTATAATATTAAAAGTTTAATAATTATATATATATATATATATATATATATATATATATATGTATAAGACAAGTCTGTCTTACTGTTAGTAGGCCTCATTCACGAAGCCAATCTATAAGGGGGGTATAAGGTTATTGCCTATAAAATGGTGGTTTAATGGGTGTCCACTCTCACCCACCGCTTCCTTGATTGGTGGAGGGTCGTTAGCCAAACGGGTAGGATAGAACACCTAAATTATCATTAAAAGTATAATGAAATACAAAATAACTAAACACTTATAAATTCCCAATCTTAGTTACTTTAGGAAAAATGTGAATTTGATGCTAACCCATGAAATTGCACTTTGCACCTTGTTAAGATGTTAGTGGAGCATGTGTGGTTAACCGACACACTAATCTGGGACTGACAATGTGTGGCAAAGGGTATCTTGATGTTAATCATGGATCAATGGAGCGTGTGTGGTTAACCGACACATTGATTGGATGATCTATAACATTTAAGTGTACCAAGAAAATTTGCATGGTTATTCACACCTTGTTTGTGATCCTCGGCATCCCAGTCACAAACTTGAAGGGCATAATCAAGATTAAACATATCATTGAAAAGTTCAATGAATCTCAAAAGATCTAGGAATTCAATCCATTTAAAGCCTAAAATTCATTTTTGTTTTTCATGGTGGAAATTGGTAAATCGTCATTTACCTACCTTCAAATAATTTGCAATTGGATTACGACATCCCTCTTCCGAATTGTAAATTATTGTGTTAGGTCCTAGCCTTAATATATTCATTTTGGGTGTTATATTAAGGACTTTAATCAACTAACTTGAATTTCTCCCTCATAGATGTCTAGTTCTGACAACTATGGTCTTCCTTATCCTTTTGGAAAAAGCTTTCCTAATGAAGATGATATATCACATGGCGATCAAGGTGAAAAATTAATCCCTTTATCGTGCATTAGTGGGACTGGAAATCATACTTCACTTCCTCCACATCCTCTAATTATTCTCCCTAACCCACAAGTTCAAAGACCTGAAAAGTTCAAGGTCACTCAAGCGCTATTGGCAGGCAAACACAAAGATGGAAAGTCTGTATGTGCCCACATCTTGGAGATGAAGTTATATATTGACAAGATGGGAGAGTTGGGCGTCGAAGTCTCGAGGAAGTTGGCTGTTGATTGGGTTCTTCAGTCACTCACTGAGTTACATAGCGGGTTCATTAAGGACTACTATATGACAGACCACGACATGACCCTTATTGATCTTACCTATTTGCTTATTGCTGCTGAATCAGAAATGATTTGGCGCAATGGTAAAACAAAGTTGATTGGAAGATCTACTTCCCAAGTTTCCATGGACAACCGTGACATTCCAGAAATGATTTCTTCTCCTAGAGAGAGAAATTGGCTAAAGTCAAAAAGTTTGAACTTAAGAGAAAGGCCGGTTTTGGAATTGTCTCATGTGTCAATGTGAAAGAAGCATTTGTTCCTATTGCCAAGAAAAAAGGACATTGGAAACGAAGCTGCGCTGACTACCTGAGAGATGTAAGAGATGGTAAAGTCAAAATGTTTGACTCTACTTCAGGTAAGTCTACTATCTAACTCTATTAAAGTTCCTATTTGAAGATTCTTAATACATGATGTAATGATTTTACATTTTGATGTTTTGAAGAATCAAAGGAAGCTTAAAGGAAGAGTATGCTGAGTCTGATCGCGAAGAGATGGATTTCGATCGCATGGTTCGATGATCAGATTTGTGACCGCTGCTTAAGAGTTATGATAGATTGCTTAGGAATAGATAACAACATAGTTTTTCACTTGTAATTGCATTGTAAGGACAAGTTTTCCTCATTTTCTAAATAAATAAAATTTTTTATCTTAATTTTAAAGTTCTTTACAATGACATTTATGAAAAATTATTGCTTATATGTTTCCATTGATAGCAATATTGGAAAATGGATTTAATTCTTTCGTTTGTGGTAGTGTCAAAATTTACCAAATAAGGAAAGATTCTCATCACCCAAGTTTCGGTTGGATAGAAACTTGGAATTATGCAACTTGTATTGTGTGATGAATGAGAATTTTCATCTTTGGGAAATTTAGACTAATTCCTAGTTCACATGTATATGTGAGTCAAGTGAAGGACTAGGGGATTGGGTACACTTGGTTGTGCGTTGATCAGGTCCACCACAAAGAACGATAAGACTATTCGTTATGATTTACTAAAGTTTAGTAAATATGGTTATGCTTACAATCTGAAAGGAAAGAAGAATACTTGAGTACCGTGTTTTATGATTATCTTAGTGATTATGAAACCATATCACAATTGATCCTCTAAGGACATCCTAGTGCACTTGTATGGCTAAGAAGAGGAATCGTGAATTGTTGAAATGATTAAATCAATAAGATGAATCATACTTCGTTCCAAAATCAAGTCTTAGAGTCGTACTCCAAGATAATAACTTGAGTGACATAATCTTAAGGAAGGTTTATAACACTTGTTAAATGTAGAGTAAAATGTTTTCTACTTTTGTACATTTGAAATTGGTAAGTTGTGATGTTTTGGATAAAACAAAGACCAACTAAGACCAATTGTGTGAAGTGTTTGTCTTGATAAGAAAACCCAAGTAACCCTTGAATATTTGTTTGTCAAGTAATGTTTCTTGACAAAGAGAATCTTATATGTCAAGAGGTCAGTGAGAGTCTTAAAGATCTTGAAAAGTTTCAAGAACTAATCAAGAGTAAACCTATTATTAATCACTAGCTCGCGACTTGAGGTTTGTAACCTATCGTGTTAACATATTCTTATTTTTGTGCCCATTCCAGTTAAAGTTGACTATGCATGTGAGTTCTATGAGTTCTCAATTGTTTGCATAACAACTTGGAAGCAATGGTAGGCCCTTGTGTTGCCAGGTGGCAAGAAATTAATCACTAGCTCACAACATGAATGCACTTGCCATAGCAGGTCCGCACATCTGAAAAAAATTGTGAATTTGGTGTTATTGTAACCTTAAATTGAGCACAAATTTTTTCTGTTGATAAGATGTATCTATTCTATAGAGGACTATAGATATCAGATTTTGAAGGTAAGCATCATGTTCATGTGTTGGTGGTTATAGGGAATGGATGTTGATTGGCTTTCCTTACTAGAAATTGATGTGAAGATGAAACATATGGAGGGCAAGGTTTTTATTTGTAAATCTGGGATATATGATAAACTGAAGAACAATTTTTTTTGTTTAGTTTGATGTATCATGATTTAATTTAGCATTACTCATGATTGTTCTGCTTACCAACCAATACTATTAAAATTATCACTTTTCTGTTATATGCTTCTTTTATCTCTGAAAAGTTTCTCAATGTTTTAAAAATAGTATGAACATTAATGAGCCTTTGGTATTTACGTAAAATAAAGTTGTAGTGGACTACATTGCAAACATTGTCCCACAAGTAATAGTCTTAGAAAAGTATAAGCATATAAGAAAGTACACATACATGTTTGCGTAGGAAACATCATCACATGGATGTAAATATCATTCTTTTATGCATGTTTTTTTTAAAAAGATTTCCTTGTGGATAAGACAGAAAAGAATGTCCATTTTCACATAATATTATCTCTTTAGTTCAATATATGCAAAATATTTGTAAATAAAAAAGAAACGTTGTCTATTTGGGAAATTTTATCGTTGGATCATCTGGTATATGGTGTAGCAGATAGAATTCATTTTTTACAAATTTGCTATAACCGGAAACAAGGTCAACGTTTGACCTTTAAAAATGCAATAAAACGATGAAAATTTTGATGGGTATTTAACAAATGTCTATTAAGTTCGGTAGTTATCATTGTTTATTTATACAACACTTACGTCAAACATACATGATTTATCCGTTGAGCAACTTACCGTTACAACAATCGAACACTGTATGAGGAGAAAAAATAACACCCCGAGAAAAAGGTAAATGAACATGAAGTAAAGCTCAATACACATTAATACCTGATTAAATGAAGTTTTTTAGGAGTACCCTGTGACCATCGTTTAAGCACATAAATGAGGCGATGTTGAATCGTTGATACTTATGTGTGACTACAATAATAGCAAAAATCTGACTTTCATTTAGTTGTTGATAATAACAATATGCTTTCAATTTCTTTTTCTTATTTTATATATATATATATATATATATATAGAGAGAGAGAGAGAGAGAGAGAGAGAGGAAGGATCTTTTGAGAACTCAAAGTTTCCCGAGAACCCGAGAACCAATTGTGGGCCGTTAGATCAAAATAATAAAAGGCTAGGATGCTCGGTGGCGTTTTTGTAAATAGTTTGAAAAAAAATAGACGGGGGCATCTTAATTATTATGAATCAGGGGCATTTTAGTAAATAAATAATTCAGACCCCTCTCTCTCTCCTCTCTATCTCTCTCTCTCTCTCATCTCTACTGTTGTCGTCTAATCGCCTCGTAGTCGTCGGAGATGACGTCTTCGTCGGTGAGGTGGTCGAAGACGGAGACCAGTCGTTTGAACACGGAGGAGCATGACTTCAAAACTAACTTCCGCCGGTTAAAGAATCACCAAAAGTTTGATCTGTCAGCTTGTATACGGCATCATTTGATTTTCCGACATGAATGCATCTGAATTACGAAAGCATATCGGATTGAGATCTGGATGTAATCTCAGGTTCCATGCCGACGTTAGCGAGGCTTCGATCCTTCCGACGAATGTTTCCCCGTATAATTTCAATTGGAGAGGATATAGTGCAGTCACCAATGATGTTAAGAATCAGGTACTCGGATTTAAAACAATCAGTATCCTTCATATGGAAATCTAGTAATATTTATTATTGTTAATGTTATCAATTGCCATGATTATCCAATTTTATGGATTTTTGTTCTACAGTAGTACAGGGAATGTTGTCTTGAACTGAAAGAGGCGATTTGAAGTCTCTGTATCTTGGAGATTTTATTTAGCTCATCCAACTGCAGATGACTTTTTTTTGGTAAGTATGTTTGATCTTTTTGTTTTTTCCCTTTATTTAAGCCTTATATTGATAATGTTTTGATGAATTACAAGTTTGAAAGTTATCATATAATGATTTTGAATGCCAAAATCATTTAGTAATATACTTGTTAATCTTATTGAATGTTGTTCATACATACAGGTAACGTCCTATTGACATGAAATAGGTGATTTTTATCAAGAAATCTTAGTAATATATTTGTTAATTTGATTATTACTAGATGATTATTACACTTTTTTTATCGACAGATTCATCGGCTATTAGTGTAATAATTTAATTGATTGTTGGCATGTCTGAAAATATGATAACAGAAGAATAAGTAATAATAATAGTCTTAAAAAGGGATGAAGTGTAGTTGATTTGGTTTTTTTGAATGATAGGATCCTGGAAATTCAGTGATGATTGTGTGTGATGAAAAGCTGAAGGAAGTATTTGGATGTGAGAGCATTTCAGAAATGGGAATACCAGAGTTGTTGGTTAGACACCATTTACTCGAGCAATAGTCTTGTCTTCTCAACTTACATGGATATTATGCAAACAGGAATTGAGGAATTGAGCGTCTGACATATGATGTGAAGAAAGAAAGTAGTAGTAGTAGTAGTAAAAGTTTTTTATGTTTGTTTTTACGGTTGTGTGAGTGCTGCTGACATTGTAATGGCAGTGTGTAGAATGATGTTGGAAATTGTTTTTATGTAAAACCAAACCCAACAAATGTTTTTCTTGTTGATGTTATTGTGATGTTTAGCTGTTGTTTACCTTTATCCTTTTGTAAATGCATAACCATTGTATGTTAATGATCTATTTACTAATGTTTTCACTATGATTAAAGGCAATCTTCAGGTTTCATTTCAGCTTTTAGTAATTGCAATTGATTATGTTCTTTTTATCGTTTATGTTTTCATTAATCATATGATTAAATGCGATGTTCAGATTCATTGGCTATGATCTTTACTAAAATTGTTATGATCTTCAGGTTTGTTAATATGTATTTTGATTATTGAAATCATTATATGAGAAATTTGATTCAGGTTTCATAAACATTAGGACAAAAGCTTGTGAGGTGTTTTAGAGAGAAGATTGTCTAAATGAGATTGTATAGGTATGTTGATGGTTTTATTATATTGTATATGTTTTATTAGATGAGAATTATATATGTATATGAACATTTGATGGTGGTAGTTTGGTGGTTAAATAAGATGTAATTCACATATGAATTACATGTGATTTACATGTAAATTCACAAGTAATTCACTTGTAATTTACATGTAAATCACATGTAATTCATATGTGATTCACTTGTGATTTACATATGAATTACATGTGATTCACATGTAAATAAGATGTAATTCACATGTAAATCACAAGTGAATCACATATGAATCGCATGTAAATAAGATGTAATTCACATGTAATAAGATGTGATTCACATGTAAATCACAAGTGAATCACATATGAATTACATTTGATTCACATGTAAATTACAAGTGAATTACTTGTGAATTTACATGTAAATCACATGTAATTCACATGTAAATCACATGTAATTCACATATGAATTACATGTAATTCACATATATTTCACTTTTGTAATTCACATGTAAATCACAAATGTATTAGCAATTTTCAAGATGATGATAACACAATATATATTAGCAAAACTTGCATAATTTACCAAAAGTTGTTAAACTTAGTCATTATAGTGTTTTACAAAATAAAGAGCATACTAAAAATTTTGCCAAAATAGGCCATATAATTAATTAAATCCTAACATTCTACTAGATAACAAGAAACATTGTTTTTAGACATTCATATTCCTTTTTTTTCTATTACAATTTTTTTTAACTTGCTCTCAGTGATCCTTTCAGAAGTTTTTCTAGTTCTGATCATTTTAGAAGTTTTTCTAGATCTTCCTTCCTCTGTCTTATGGACCTCATCTGTGTAATCCACATGCTCTTTGTTATCGACCTCATTATCTTCCTTATTTTCTTCTTCACCAATTCCTTTTTCTGACATATTCTAGTATAGAAAAAAAATAGATGTTAGTTATGGTATTAGAATTTAAAATTTACTCAGAACTTTAAAAATATACCTTTGGGATTTCTTTTGATTTATGAAAGAAGTCATCAAATTCCTTAAGTTGTTCTTTGGTGATATTAAGAATCGAAATGATATCTTGCTCACTGTAATTTGATTGTCTCAAATCATTCAGAAGTTTACGAAGTCTTTCTCCTTCAATGATATGCTCGACTTGAACACATGCTTTTGGAAGATGTTGATTTTCCAAAGTTGTTTGAACTTTTTGAGTAATTTCCAAATTGTCAGGTTCTCCATCTATATTGTAAAATTTGTGTTGCACTCTATCTTTTTTAACTAAATCAAATTCATATAACACTTTTTCCCATTTTTTTAAATCTTCATTTTGCTGAAAATTTTCTTTTGCTTCTTCAAATGTTGATATTAACTTACTTTTCTTCTTACAAAGACTTTCAAAAGTTTTTGTCAAAGTTGACAAATAATCCTGCGTAAAATAAAAACATGTACATATATGTATATTATTTCACATCTGATTATGAAAACAAATATATATAAGTATGTATATTTTGCATTAATATTTATTTATATATAACTATTTTTTAATAAAGTTTTTATAGATTTTTACCTCAATCTTTTTATCTGTTATATTTTGCAATCTTTCAAGAATTTTTCCTGTTCCAAACATTCCAACTTTCATTTCGCTAGTTTCTCGTTTTTTCATTTTGATAGAATCCCAATTTTTTATTGTTGGACGTAATCGTAAATCATTTTCTTCATCGAATTGAACATGGTCAACATATAATAGCTGCATAAAAAGAACATAGTCAAATTTGTATGTTATAGTAAAAAATTAAAATAATATTTTAAATAAAGAAATATTACCAGCAAGTATGTCAGTGGACCATAGAAGTACCCTTTACAATTGTGTGATACATATGACCTTGTGTTATTAATCAATGAGTCAATTGTGTAACTACACCAGTCAATTTTTGAAAAATCTGTGGTGCTTGAAATCTTCTTTAATATATTCTGATTGATTTTACCTGCAGGTGTACTTTCAACTAGAGTGTTGCAAAACAGAACAATGAAATTGAGTTTGAAGTTGAAATCAGCCTCTTTTGATGATATAATTGCATTTGTGATATCATTCAATCTAATGTTTTCTGCTTTATGAAATTGGGATATCCATTTGCTGTAACACTCATCTTCTGCAGGTCGAAAACTAAGGTCTTCCACTTTTTGGTCACCGATTGGAATTCCAAGCATCTCATTCACACTTTGTCTGTCAACCTTAATTTCTCCATTTATAACTTTTAGTACCTTTTTATCTATATCAAAGCTTTTAACAACAAATAAACCAAGTGATGAAGGCAACTCATCAACTTCCAATTTCAATAAGCTTTTAAATCCCATTTCTTTAACACAATTCTTCTGCTCCAAACTAAGTTTCTTTATAATTTTAAGCAATGATTTTGGTGATGACCTGTTACGTATTGTTTTGAAATGATTTTCTTTTTCAGCCAAAACTATCTTTGGATAACCTTTTTTCTTTTTTATTTTGGGCTGTTCTTTTTAAAAAAAAACAGTTTTGTTTATCAATATCACTTCTCTTTCTCTTTCCAACATTAGCATTCAAAGAACCTGCAAAAAATATTATTTGTAATAATGAAATTAATAGTATATTTTTTTAAATTAAAAACAAAGAAATTATTATACAAGTTATAGATTAAAATGATTATACACATAGGATTGTATTTACTAAATTTCAATAACAAATTTTCATATAAGTACATATTCACATGTGATTAAATGAAAAGTATTTATTGTTATTTATTTTCATTTTTTCACATAATTAGATAATACCTTATTAATGGCATTCTATAATAAACAAAAAGCATTTAAACAAACAAAACATTATAAATTATTACTACATGGAAAAGTTGATTATTTGACTTAATTTGTCAAATCCTATTCAAATGTTATTTCATATGTGATTTGCGTGTGAATCACATGTAACTTGTATGTAATTTACAAGTGAATCACATGTCATTCGTATATAAATTGCATCTGATTTACATGTTAATCACATGTAATTCATATGTGATTTACATGTGAATCATATGTAATTCATATATGATTTACAAAGTGAATCAAATGTAAATTACTCTTGAATCGCATGTCATTCATATATAAATTGCATGTATTCCAAATCAAAATTTTTAATTTAGATTCTGAAAAGTCAACACTTTCAGGAAGGCTTCTACACCTTTTGGGACAAATATCTCAGAAACAAATGCATATATTTGAAAATGAGGCTAAGTTACAGGTATGAAAGAATGTTGAGAGTGCTAATTTTTTATTTAAAAAATCAGAGGAAAGGTTCGTTTACTTATGCATGGGCATTAGTTGAGAGTGCTGAAAAACGAGAAAGAGGGATAACAATGACAGTTGGAGTTTCCTTTTTCAAATCAAACAAATACGACGTTGTGGTGTTGCATGTCATTCATATATAAATTGCATGTATTCCAAATCAAAATTTTTAATTTAGATTCTGGAAAGTTAACACTTTCAGGAAGGCTTCTACACCTTTTGGGACAAATATCTCAGAAACAAATACATATATTTGAAAATGAGGCTAAGTTACAGGTATGAAAGAATGTTGAGAGTGCTAATTTCTTATTTAAAAAATAAGAGGAAAGGTTCGTTTACTTATGCATGGGTATTAGTTGAGAGTGCTGAAGAACGAGAAAGAGGGATAACAATGACAGTTGGAGTTTCCTTTTTCAAATCAAACAAATACGACGTTGTGGTGTTGGATTCACCAGTGCATAAAATTTTTGTCCCAAACATGATATCAGGGTCAACACAAGCAGATGCTGCAATTCTTGTTATTGATGCATCACTTGGTGCCTTTGAAGCAGGTATCGATAGTGCAATTCTTGTTATGACATGTTATTGATGATAAATTTATCATCAATTCTTGTTATTGATGATAAATTTTTTATTTTCTAAATGAAAAAATTTTATGACATGTTTGGTTTGTTGATTTCGGAGATATCATAAGAAGCTGAAAAACCATGAAAGAACTTAAGGTTCCATCATATCAATGTCAACATCATCTCTTCTACCGAAAGTAAAATCAAAGAAAGTTTCAATGAAAGGCTTATACCAATTTCTTGTATTAGAACAAGTAATACTAATTAGGGTTATTACTTCCTTTTCAGAAAACCAAAAACATAGACAAAAATTATGTAAAAATGCTAAATTACCTTTCATATTTAGAGTATAACGTTTTGAAGAAGTATCTTGTTGATTGATTTTCTTCGATCTTCTGTAACCATTTGAAGATTTATAGTGTTGATCGACCTTCTTCGAAGTTATACAACGCTTTGTAGAAGTACAGTGTTGATTGATTTTTTTCGAACTTTTATTTGAAAGAGGTAAATCACTTGAATGTTGTTCTGAAGACATGATTTTGTTTGAATCGCTAGCTTTTGAAATACGAAGGAAACCCTTTCTATAATTTTAGAACCCTAAATGAAAAAAAAAAAGAAAAAAAACGCTTTTATGTGATACGAAAATTCAGTTTCGTTTGCATTTACAGTATTAGCCCCTTGTTTTTTAAATTGTTTTAGATTTGTATTCATTTTTTTCATTTAATTACAAATATACAAACCTGCACTTTCATTTTATCTTTTTAATAATATTTAAGATTTGAATAAAAAATTATTTAATTCTACAAATTGTATTATATTTTTATTTTTTATTTATAGTTCATTATACCTTTATTTGTATTTATATTTATAATTTTGTATGATGTGTTAAGTATTAAGCAAATATATATGTAACAATTATATAAATAAACATATTTTTAAAATTATATTTTTAATACATATAATTTATATAATGAAAACTATAGTAGATGGTATTTGCAAATCAAATGGATTTTCACTATAATCAATAGTTTCAACTATATGGTCCATCTCAAAATTGGTGAATATATGTCTTTTGACATCACATCTCCATGTACTTGCCTTGTTGACATTAGAGAACGCGCTGGTTGATCAGACATGATAATTTATTATTATTATTATTATTATTATTATTATTATTATTTGAATAAAAATATTAACATATTTTTATATAATCTATCATAATATTTTATTTTAAGAAAACATTGAAACTATATAGATATACAATGACTTTTAACTTTAAATTATGAAATTTTTAATGATACATTTTTTATTTAAACGTTAATCAAAATTTTCCAAATTATACAATCAAAAGTCAAATATGAAGTTTCATAAGTAATAACAAAAGTGTTAATGAGTTTCATATTATGATCTCATTAGAGTTACATACTTCATAAATTTTGAAAAAAAAATAACAATAATAAAAAAAATAATGCTTTTAATTCCACACATTACACTTCAAAGACATAAAGTTTCATCATTTTTAATCTCAGAGTATCCTTCCATCTTTTTTCTTCCATCCCTTAGCCAAAAGAGATTTTATCTTTTCATCAGATTTTTTTGCAAATACTTCAGACTGCTGTATAATTTTTTTCCTGTGAATATTTATCTCACACAACAGAATCTTTGTAAGATATTTCACTCTCATGTCATCCAATTGATTGTTATAGTTTTTTGATGATTTTTTATGAATTCCACAATTCCAATTCCCTGTACGATCACCCATATAGACTTCCATATGTCTCATGAGAAAAACACCACAATTAATGTCATTGTTCCTACTCCTCCAATTCATTCTCAATTTTTCTGCCTCAACATTTTGTATTTGTAAGGCTGATTTGTGATTTACATTCAATAGGTATCTACTGAAGAGTAATTTCTGTGAAAATAAATAAATGAAATTAAAATTATTTTTCATATTAAATTTAATATATAAATTTATATATTTCTTACCAATTCACCAGCTGCATCACCAAAAGAAGTTTGTATCTTTGATGTTGTCAAATTGTTGTCCATGACATCAATTTGTTTTTCTTTTAAATCAACACATATGAGGCAGTAGTGTTCATCACATACAATAGGGAAAAATACCTATTTTGATCAAATATGATTAATATGTTAATGATATGACATTCAAATGTAATGTAATGCATATATAAGTCATTTGTGATTTACATCTGAATCACATGTAATTCATATGTGATTTAATTGTTATTTTACATGTAAATTACATGTGATCACATATGATTCATATATATATTACCAAATCAAACTCTTCATATATTACCATATGATTCATATATATAAGGGAAAAAATAATATTACCAAATCAAACTCTTCAAATGTGATTAGTTCTTTCTGATATTTCATTGCTTCTTTTATTTTTCTTTCAAATTCTTCAAATCTTTCAATTAAAGGTCTTTTTCTATCATACATGCTTGAAGTCTACAAAAAAAATTATATATATCTTTAAAGTTAAATTTAAGATTTTAATTTTGATGAAATGAATAATATTTATTAGAAACTTACCATTATTGTTGTATCAAAGAAGTATCTTTGCATTTGTTTTTTTGGAGAACTTTTTTCTTCAAAGTTTAAAACCTCAATCCATGCATCAATTACATTTTGATGAATATTCAACTTTGGCTGCAAAGTTTCAATCATCCCTCTAAGAACCACAATACCTTTCTTCACCTCAAATACCTTTTCACTGTTTTTTATTATAAAAAAATGAATTATTAGATATTAAATAATTATCCACATTTAAATTTTAAATGTTTTAATTAAAATAAATAAAAATTCAATCTTTACATTGGAGATCCAATCCTTACAAATATGTGGTTTGAGACTTTTATTTCAGCATCTTCTATCAATTTGTCTGTTGAAACAAACTTTTTAATATACGGTGAACATATTAAGTAGGATGGTTTTGTCTTTCTTTTTGAGAACTTTCTTCCGACCACTTTATTATTTTCAAGTTCAAAGTTTCTCTGATCATCTTTTATTTCTTCCGAGTTGTTACCTTCATCCTCATCATCATTTTCATCATCTTCAATATTGTACTTTTCATCATCTTTCTTTCCCTTTGTTTTAATTAAATTTTGTGTTAAACCAATTGAAAAAACATGTGATGAGATATTAAATATATTTATCGATAATTAAAATAAAATTATAAATAATTACTAACATTTGAATTGCTTAACAAATAATCTTGTTCTGACATGAGTTTCAATAGTGGACTTGGTGTTCTTTCATTCTCTGATTCAGTTGTTCTTTCATCTTCTTTTTCAATTTCAATTTGATTTTCTGTTTTATTTGATTGTCTTTTCCAAGTTCAACTTCATCCAATTCTTCAGCTCCTTTTTCTTTTTGAACTTCGTGCTCTACATCGATTTCATGTTGTCCTTCTTTTTCACTTGTTTGATTACTCCGCTCTTAATGTTGTGCTTTTTTTTTGAACTGGCTAGTTCTTCTTCAATTTTATTTTTAATTTCAAGCAGCTCATTGCTTTCTTTGAATTTTGAAACAGAAAAACTTAACAATTCTGAAATGTTCTTTTTCAGTTCAACCAAATTCATATACTTCTTTATTAATTTACATTTCAGTTCTTGAAAAGAATATCATCCAACTTTAAAGAAAACTCTTATATTAAAATTATATTATTGAATACTAAATAAATATTAATATTAACATGCGAATGTTAATATAATAATTTAAAATTCCAATTTATAATATAATTTACATATGATTTTAGATGTAAATCATATTTTGTGGTTCACATGTGATTCTTATCCAAATCATATGACAATAATTATACTTATTTATATGTTTATATCATGTGTTGCAAAATATGAATCACATGTGAATAACATATAATCAAAAATTTAATCACATATGAGTTACATGTTAATATATAACCTTAAATCACCATTTAATCGCATGTATTTCTGATCTGAAACAGATATAATAACACATGTAATTGATATATTGAAAACATTTGAATCAAATGTTTAATAACAAAATCAATTAAAATCATATATTAAATCACAAGTGAATTATATGTGATTTACATGTAATTCACAAATGAATTATATGTGAATTACATGTGAATCACATGTAATTCACATATGAATCACATGTGATTCACATGTAAATCACAAATGTATTACACGTGAATTCATATGTGATTTACATGTGATTTACAAGTGTATTACATGTGAATTCTATGTGAATTACATGTGATTTACGTGTGAATTACATGTAATCACAAATAAATTATATGTGATTTACATGTGAATCATATGTAATTCACATACAATTCACATATGAATTACATAATTCACATGTAAATCACATATGTATTACATGTGATTTATATGTAATTCAGATGTAAATCAGATGTAATTCACATGTAAATCATGAGTAAATGTGATTTATATGTAATTCACATGTATTTCAACTATGAATAACATATGATTTATATATGATTCATATATAAATATGTGATTCATATATTATTCATATGTGATTTTAATATGAATATCAATCAAGAATATTTTAATTTCAATTATATGTAATTAAAATCTAAGTATTAAGTATGAATTTATGTTTAATTTATAGGTAATTCTGATATAAATTACCTCAACGCTCATATCATCTTCATCACCAGAATCAGAATCTTCATTAAAATCAGGAATATTCTCATCAACATCTACATTTCCAAAAGATCCGCTGAGAATTTCTGCTCTTTCTCTTTTTGACATTTTATCAATATCCCAGTAATGTATTGGATGTTCTAATCTTTTGATTGAATCTTTCTTCAAGTTTTTCATGAAATCTAAATAAGCCAACTGTAAAAATTTTTTTATTAAATAGATTTATTATGATGATAAAAATTAATTTCTTAATAAATATTTTTATTGCCAGTAATACAAGTAGTGGTCCACAGAAGTTATCGGTTCTATCTTTTTCATCCCAATGAAGTTTGCAAACCTTTAAGCAATCGATTATATGTGCACACCAATCTACATCTTTTAATGGCAAAGCTTCATACAAATGTGGCAAAAGTATGTTCTTGCAAGTTCCTAGTTTGTTTTGTTCACAAAACAAATTTAAAAAGAGAACTGCAAAGTCAAGTTGGAATATTTTTCCTGAATTTGAAGACTTGTAGATATGTTTTTCAATTTGACTAGGTCTCATATTTTTTTCCATTATATATATTTCTCCATTCCAAAAGACCAGTCTCAGTTTTTTCATTTAAATCAAATTCATTGATTTTTCTTCCACCTGTTGGGATTCCAAGTAAATTGTGAATCAGATCTGATGTGATATCTATTGATCCAACTGGTAGATTGATCTTCATTTTATCTGGATCAAAGCAGTTAACAACATATCGTGAAAGTTTTCCTGGAATTCCATTACTTGCCATTGTTAATAAAGATCCTAATCGCATTTCTCTGACTGCCTTCCTTTGTTGTTTATTAATTGATTTGACTACATCAAAAAGCATTTTAGGACACATTATTGTTCTCAATGATGTTGGCTTTTCTGGATCTATTGGTTCTTTGTCTTTCTTGACAAACTTCTTTTTCTTTTTGAAAGTTTTTGCAATTGAACTTTTTACATCCTTATCAATTTCTGCATCATCTTCAGTAATTTCTTTTCGTTTTCTTTTTCTGATTAAGATGAAATGTAAATTATTAATATTCGATTAATAAACTAAGATATAAATTCTTTTATTAACAAAGTTAAATGTTCTTTATTGTTATTATCCTTCAGAATCATGATATCTAACTGTATTAAACAATTATATTTTTTTCTTTTTGTTTTTCCTGTTTCAAATTCATTTTATATATTTTAATTGTTTGAAAATAACTTTATTAAGTTATTTTTGTAACAATTATATAAATATCATATTAAAAAAATCATTAATAAAATTATATACAAATATCTTTATTAACAAACCTTTTTGTTTTCTTTTTTCAGGATACTTCACAACAGGATTGGGCTTTCATTTATTGAAACAATATCCATTGACTTTCTTTTTCCTGTTTCAAATTCATTGGAAGTTGTTAATTGTTTCAAAATATATTTATGAGTTTTTTTTCTATATACAATTAAATAAATATATTTTATTAACAAACCTGTTTGCATTTTAGTTTCAGCATTCTTTATAACACTACTATCTAATTCTATTGGGCTATTCTTTCTTTGTCCTGTTTCAAATTAATTGCAAAATATATAAAAGTACAAATTATTATTAAATTAAAAAAAAGTAGTATTAACGAACCTTTTTGTTTTTGCTTTCTATGTGTCTTCAGAACAGTGCTGTCTATTTGAATTGGACTAGACTGTTTTGAGCATATAATGTCCTTAATTCTTGGAATTTGTCTTGTTACTTTAAAATACAGATGTATATTTTATAAAAATTTAATTAGAATCTGTTTATAATTTTGAATCTCAAATGAATTATTTTAAATAACATTATATTTAACAAACCTTGAGGTACTTTGCTTGGACTGTTCTTACCAACTCTTTTTCTCCATATTTGATTCTTTTGCTTTTCAATTTCATTTTGAATATTGTAATCTATTTATGTTTATATAAATATTCATTTAACTTTTAGACCATAACAAAATTTCAAGTAATTTGAAATAAAATATGTGAATGTTTTAATATTGATAATTTGAATATCATACTACATATCATATCAACAGGACTATAATTAACTTCATGAGGGACAAATGATAGATTGTTGATGATTCGTATGATATTAAATTGGGAATGAAACAAAAACACAATAGTTGCACTGATGTTAAAAGAAACCTAGATGCTAGAAACGAAACATGTAAATTACTGTAAAACTTTGTAAATTCATAAAATATCAAAAATGAGAAAAAACAATTCATATTTTATCTACTAGAACATGTCACAAAATTGCCAAACAGCCAATTAAACGTTGAATTGTTTTATAAAAATTAGGGTTTTAGATTTTAGATTCACAATCATTTTTATAATCGTATAATCATTCGTGTTTATTAAATCGAAGTTTTGTTTAATATAGTTTACCAACATGTTAGTGTTTGTATTTATAATAAAAATTCGAATCTAATATTCAAACTTGATTTAAAAAATCTAGTGTTTTACCATTATGATTCAGTAACGAATCTATAAAATCTATAAACAAAACGCAGTAAAAGTATCGATAGAATGAAATACCTTCGACTTCCATGTTTTTTATCACTTTGATTCGAAATACACGGTTCAAGCTTTAATGATCATCGTCTGCGATTATCGTCTTTTGTGAAATGATAGATGAATTCGGATGTGAAATTAAATTAAATTTCTAGTAATGAAGTGTATATAAATTTTAGATCCGTCCTTTACCATAGTTAAGTTTTCTAACTGAAGTCAAATTTGTTTTTACGAAAATAGGCATTATGGTTACTTTATTTTAATTTATTTTCAATTTAATTTTTTATATCTATTTAATATTATATATTCTAAAATTATTTATCATTTATTTCTTTTACTGTATTCCATAGCAAATCAGTTTTATGTAAACATTCAAAATTATTTTAATTTATTTTCTATTTAAATTTTTTATATATTTAATACTATATATTCTAAAATTCTTTATCATTAGTTGCTTTTACTGTCTTCCATGGCAAATCAGTTATATCGGTAAACATTCAAAATTATTTTTGTTAAAGATAAGTGTTGAATATACTTAAAAACAATAAAACATTTTTTTTCAACAAAAAAAATAATAATATATAATATATAAATACATATTAATCACATATCAGTCATATGAATATATAATATATAAAATACATTTTAATATACACTTGGTTTAGTCACATGTATATATAAATGATTTATTGTTTAAAAAGGTGTAATTCTCGTATAATTTACATGTGATTAGCATGTAAATCATATGTTAATCACATGTGAATCACATATTAATTATAAAACCAGTCATTGCAAAACTATATAGGATATTTAAATGAGTTATATTTTGTGGAATTGATATAAGTTTATTCAATTTGCAGTCATCAAAACTCAACAAAGATGCACTTAACAATATGGATAACCTAAAATTGTCCAGTTAAATTCAGTGCAACTCACATATTAATCATTTTTTGAATCAAATATAATTCACATATTAATGAGAATTAATTACATTTAGAGGGAGAATCAGATGTGATTCACATATGAATGAGTTACATTTTAATAACAAATAAATTACATATTAATCAATTAAGAAACACAAATAAGTTATATAAATCAAAATAATTTAGTTTTTATATGTGCATATGAATCAGAAATCTGTTACACTTATTCATGTTGGGATGTATGTTCATTCAAATGTGAATAACAATTAATTCATAAAATTGTAGATAAATGAATAGGATGAATACAAACTGCAAACTACATAAAATCTAATAACTTTTAATAAAAACAAATAATAATACTATTTTAAAAATCTCAAATGAATATAAAATTCAAAGTACATTAAAACTAACAAACATTTTTCAATATTGCAAAGAAAGTATAAAATTCAAAGTACATTAAAACTAACAAACATTTTTCAATATTTCAAAGAAAGTATCAAATCATTTTTTGAATACATATATTAATAAATATTTTTCAATCTTTCATTAAGAGTTGAGACTGCATTCCTCATGTCTTCTTTTCTTTCAATATCGGGTATTTTTTGGTATTCATTTGCAAGATGAATAATTTTGTCACGGTGTATGTTCAAATCAGACAACAGCATCTTTGCAGCATATTTATATCTAAGCTTGTTAAGTACAGTCTTTTGCTTAGGACCTTCTTCTAACAAACCAGTGTTCCACTTCCTTAATAATTTTCCTTTGTAAGTTTCCATATGACGCATTGCAAAAATTCCTTTATCATTGGTTTCTTTTACTGTCTTCCATGGCAAATCAGTTATATGTAGTTTCATAGATTCAGAAGTACATTTTGTAGCAGAGGAGTGTTGAATATCCTTCAAAAACATTGTAAACATTTTTTTCTGCAAGAAAAAAGTAATAAATATATAATGTGAAAAAATGATTTATTAGAATGACAAAACTTCTATTTAAATTGCACTTACAAGATTTTCTGCAAGATGATCATAAACGACTTCATTTATAGTTCCAGAAACATTATCAATAATCTCGTAAACAGTTGAATTTAGATTAAATACAACTAGAAAAGTATTCTCCTTTCGTATAACAGGGAAGAAAACCTGAAATTATATAAATTGGTTTTTATTTTTTATGTATAAGAAAATTTAAGAATTCGTTACTTTAAATATCTTACATAATCAACTTTCTTCAATAGTCTTCTATCTTCATCCTCACAAAGACTATCAAGCATATGTGTTTTGAATAATGCATATCTACTTTCATCAGTGTATGAATATAGCTCCAAGTATGAAGACTAAGAAAAAATGATTAGTTAATATTATATATAATTAATATTTGACTACAGTAATAATATTTATTTCAGAAATATTATTTTTAATATATCCACATGTTATTAAAAATACAAATTATACAATCATATGTTAATATTTAAATAATTTTATTCAATTTTATGATAAAATTTAAATCATAATTTTTTGTTAACTTACAGTAGTAGCCACTTTACAGAAAACTCTTGATGGTGAATTAGCATGACGAGCATTTTCATCATAATTAAGATGATCAAACCAACAATCAAGAACAACTGCAGTTATTTCGAATGATGGAAGTAATCTCTCCATTGCTACTCTAATTGTAGTATCACCTCTTTTTGTTTTTATAACTTCATCACTACAATAATAAATATATACAAAATATAAAGAATATGTTAATATTTCATTTTTCTTAAAAAATATAAAAAAGAACATCACTATTAAAAATTATATAGAAATTATTAAATAGAAATTTACTTACATTGGTTCTCCTTTGCAGCTAAACAACCAATCACACACAATATTTTCATCACATGTTACTCGTTTATGTGTTTCAACCTCTATCAACCTGTATGGTGATCTTAAACAATGGTTGATGTGATTCTCCATTTCTTCTATCTTCAATTTTGCAACAACAGGATGTTTCAAAACTGATCGTTTGTTTTATTTCAGATTTAACATTCAATTTTTCATCAGATATATCTTCCTGACTAAGACCTAGGCTAAAACTTGGCATTCCGCTAATTTCTTGTTGAACAATATGTTTTTTGCTCAAACTCTCTTCCATGAATCTATCTTTTGAACTTTCAGTATTCTCAATATCAGAGTATAACACAGGACTATTCTGAAATTTCTTTTTAGGTTTGAATGTTTCAACTGAATAATCAACCATTTTGTAAAGTTCTGGATTGTTCCAAAAGTCTTCATCATTATCAAAATAATCACATTTTGTGTTGGACATATCTTTTTTAAAATTCTCTATTTGAATTTCAATATCTCTTTGAAGAGCTTGTTGAATTTCTTCATTGTCCCAAAATTGAGAATCTGATACATCTGTAAAAAAACATATTATTCCAAAATTAGTTATATAAAATTATATTGTTCATCATATTAAATTCATATATTTTAATCACATGAATCACATTTGTTCACATATAAATCATATGTAATTCACATATGAATTACATGTGATTCACATGTAAATCACATTTGTTTCACATGTGAATCATATGTAATTCACATATGAATTACATGTGATTCACTTGTAAATAACATATGAATTACATGTGATTCACTTGTAAATCACATATGAATTACATGTGATTAACATATAAATCAGATGCAATTTATATAGGAATGACATCTGATTCACTAGTAATTTACATGTGATTCAATTGTAAATGACATATGAATTACATTTGACTCACTTGTAAATCACATATGAATTACATATGATTCACATGTAAATCACATATGCGTTTTACTTGTAAAATCCCATATGAATTACATGTGATTCAAATGTAATTTAGATACAAATTACATGTAATTAAAATGTAAATCAGATGCAATTTATATACGAGTAATTTATATGTGATTAACTTGTAAATCACATATGAATTTGATGTGATTCACGAGTAATTTACATGTAATTCACTTGTAAATCCCACTTTAATTAATTTATCATATTAGATTCACATTTAATTAAACATGAATATTATTTTATTCATATGTATACCACAGATTGATGCTGACCTTCTCCAAAATTAATTTCCATATCATTTATTGTTGATGTTCCTTCTTCAACTTTTGATGAAGATCCTTCTTCAAACATTGAAAATGATTTTTCAAAATTATGTTTTTTTTCAGCATGAGTTGTTTCTTCTTTAACAACTTTATAATGAACATATTTTTTAAACAAAGCATCATCAATTTTATATGTTTCTGAAATTTCATTCTTATTATTGACATTCGAAGTGGAAACTCTCAGTCCCAAAAATTATTGCACTCTACTTTTTAATTCTTGTAAACTTTGTATGCCAGGAAACTTTGATATTGCTTTATCAACTAATAAAATCATCTTTCTCTTGCAATAACTTCCACGATCTAGAAGCTTCAGTATTTGAATTTCATAATCCTACAACAAATGTAATTTATATTATAGTAACAAAAATATTTTATCAGATGAGCATAAGTTAAATAAATAAATTTTTACCTCGAGATTACATTCAATTGATTCTTCATTATATTCAAAATCACTTCCAAAATCAACAAAAGATTGTTTACAATCTACTATTACAAAAGGAGGATTTATATCTCCAAAACCAAATCTTCCAATAGTCATTTCCAGATTTTCACGATATTTTATCTTTTCTGAGCTCCAATAACAAATGACTGGTCTTGTACGCTCAACCTTTAATTCATCAGAATCAATACTATCAAGATACAACAACTGCATATATACAAAATAGTAAAATCAATAATTTATTAATAAATAAATAATAAAATATTATATTTAAAGTATAATATGGAATTTTAATTTACCACGAGGTATGCAGAAGGTCCGAAAAAGTATTTTTTATCATTGTAAGGTTCAAATGAACTACTCGTGTTGATGAGGCAATCCAAAACATATGAGCACCAATCAATACTTTTGATATCAGTTCCACTTGATATGTGCTTTAATATGTTAATGTTGCATGCACCACTTGAACTTGATTCACAAACAGTATTCACAAACAGAACTATGAAATTCATTTTGAAATTCATGTCAGCTAATGATGTAGACACAATTGAATTTCGTAACTGTGTCATTCTCAAATTTGAAACATCATCAAATTGTATAGCCCAATTATTATACCATGTATCTGAATGATCTCTATAACCAGTTTGTTCAATTCTTTTTCCATTCATTGGAATTCCCAGCATTTCATTAACTGATTCTCTTGTTACCATAATCTCTCATTTCTCTACTTTTATAACCATTCGTGTTCTATCAAAGTTATTTACCATATAGAATGATATTCTTGATGGTACGTCTGATATTTTCATTTTAAGTAAACTACCAAAACCCATAGATTTCACACAATCTTGTCGTTCTTTGCTTAAACCTTGAATAACTGAAAATAAAGATTCTGTTGAACATCTATTTTTCATTCCATAAAGATTTTTATCTAATGGAATTTTCTTCTTCTTTCTCTTTATAACATGACAACAATCCTCATCTTCTTTTTCTTCTTCAACTGATTTTTTTCTTTTTTTGAACTTCCATTTATTTTGTTTACTTTTTTGTCCTTCTTTTTTTTATTCTTTTCAATTTTTTTTGCATTTTGAAGTACCACATTTTTCTGGTTTATTTTGTTTTTGTAAATTCGATCCTTCTCCAGATGTTCCACCAATTTTTATTACTTTCACTCTGTCTTGGTCTTTCTTTTTTGTTGAATCTTCAATAGTTTTCTTCTTTTTTCCTTTATCTATAAGATAAAATAATAAAAAGTTTAACATGTTGATTTATATTTAAACATAAATATGTACTTCATATCTAAATAACATATAATTCATTATTTGATTTAGATTTCAATCAAATCCAAATCATATGTAAATAACATATATTTTATTTTCTGATTTAATTCTTATTATAATGTTATTCACATGTGATTTACATATTCAATTAAAATATTGTTCACATTAGAATCAAATATAATTAACGAAACAAGCTCATCTGTGATTTACACCTTTATAACATTTGATTCAGCTGTGAATAAAATATAATTAACAAAGAACTGACTAACTTCTTATTGTAAATTATTTCACATTAAATCACAAGTTATTATGATGTTAATCATATACAATAATTTATTTATTATGTATGATTCAGATGCTAATGAAAGATAATAATTTAAATACCTTTTGTATTTGTAATAGTAGCTATTTTTTCGTTGAAATCTTCATCTGAAGATGTTGAAAATTCCATTTCGCTTGATTTCTAGGGTTCCGGATTTTTCTATTTTTTTATATATGTCGATGATTATGTAGATGAAAACTGCAACACAAGTTACAGATAAACAAAAAAATGTATTCAGATTTAATGAACATTAATAACAAGAACAAAATAAGGATTTCAAAACATTGATGAAAATAGAAGAACCTGTGATTGTTTCCGGGAGAGCTTTTGGTCGAAGAGCAGGTTTATTCCGCGTAGTTGTTCTTCAATGATTTTTGCTATGCATCGTAGTAGAATTTGATTTTAATCTTGGTTGAATTAGGCGACGTTTTGTTTGTTGAAAGAATTGAATTATCGGATGAATTTTAATATGAAACAAAAATATAGGAATAATATAATTAAAATTTATAATAATTTAATTTTGTACTTATATACATATGATGGAATACGTTAAAAGAAAATTTTATATGAATTCTATAAATTTGGTATATTTTATACTATATAAATCAAATGTGTTTTATATAATATTTAAAAAAAAACATATTAATAAGAGATATAGTAAAGAAATTTTTTATATTCATAAATATTTTTATAACTAAAATATCATTAAGAATATTTTAATTTAAAATTACAAATTATTTTAATAATTATAATTTAATAAAATAAACTCTGAAAAAATAATTTATTATATAAAAAATTTTTAAATTAAAAATAAACATTATACAGTTATATTAAAATAATAATTTTGTCTTATTCTTTAGAAGTCACGACAAAAATTTTTGACATTTATTAAATCTAAAAAAAATTATATTATATTTAAATTCGATTCTTTATATGTCATCGTTTATATTTATTCATATTGATCCTCATTTCTCGGATTCTGTTCATTCTTATTGTAAACCGGAAAAAGGGTGTGCTTCCATTGTTCTTGTAAACCGAAGTCAACATTTGGGAAAGAAAAGCAGATTTCAACAGTGTTAGAATCGGTAATAAATTCTTTATTCTTATTTTAATAAGTTTATTTTTGAATCACTGATGAAAATCTTAAACCCTAAGTTGTTTTGTTTATTTTATCCCAAATGCGTATTGCGTATTGTTTTTGATTTTAGGGTTTCTAATAAGACATGATTTAAATGTAAATAATCTGTTTCATATTTTATTAACAGACGAATATACATAATCACAAGTAAGGGTAAATACTTGCAAATGAATATACATAATAACGTGTGGTTAATGTTAACCTGTGATTTTCACGTCATTAAATAATTTATTAGATTTGAATCACATGTTATTTAGAAATATATTTTACATCTAAATCATAACTAGGTTTAAATCTGATTTTCATATTAATATCATATTATTCAAATGTGAATCAAACATAACTCGGGAGAAGTAACTCATTTGATATTCTTTTGTAATCCACATACTATTCAGTATATAAGTCAGATAAGAATCAAATGTGATTAAGATGTAATTGTCATCGTTATTCATATGTTATTCAGATTTGATTAGCATGAGAATCATATTTTATTCACATGTGAATCAAATATAATTAACTTGTGTTTTTGTATCTAATTTATATATTCACAAGTTATTTATATATTATCCACATTCAATTCATATCTAATTCACATCTTATTAAAATATGTGATTAAGATGTAAATTCTTTCATACATTTAAAAGAATATGTGATTCAGATGTAAATGTCATTGTTATTCATATGTGAGTAAAATACAAGTGATTCAGATGTAAATGACATTGTTATTCATATGTGATTCAGATATGATTAGCATGATAATCATATGTTATTCACATTTGAATTAAATATAATGAAAAAAAGTTAAGTAACTCATTTCAAAAAAAATTTCAATTATTTTTTTAGGAAAATATTTTTCAAGAATGAAGATGGATAAAAGAAGAAGAGTTGATTTAGATGAATCAAAACAGAAGTGTGAAGAAGAGCAAATTCAATTGAAATTAAAGAAAGTGAAGAAAGTATCTTCGTCTTTGATATCTTTGAATAATAACAAAATGAATTTCTCTACATTACGTATCAGATCATCACCAAATTCAATGTTTAAGATTATTAAGAAGCTTAGTTTTGAGCAGAAGAAATGTGTGAAAGAACTTGGATTTAAAAGTTTATTGAAGTTGGAAATTGACGATTTACCTTCAAGACTTAGCTATTCTGTTGTTCATAACTTTGATTATGAAAAGATGATATTAAAAGTTATGAACAATGAAATTAAGGTAGATAGTCAAAGTGTAAATGAGATGTTAGGAATTCCAATTGGAGAAAAAGAAGTGGATCAGCTTCCATTCCGAGCTAAAGATGATCAATGTTATGATAGGTGGATAAACCAATTTGCTGATAAAAAGAACATCAGATTGAAAGATATCGTGAATGCAATTATTTCAACAAAAGAAGCTGATTTCAATTTCAAATTGAATTTCATTGTGTTGTTTTGTAACACACTGGTTGAAGGTACATGAATGGGGAAAATAAATGATAAGATATTGAAAAAAATATCAAGTGATACAGATTTTTCGAAGATGAATTGGTGTTCTTATATGATTGAATCTTTGATTACAAAGAAGAGATCATATTCAGTATCCAAAGACAAGAGTTATTTCAGTGGACTAGTCACATACTTACTGGTAATATTTTGTTATCAACAATGTATATGATGTAAAAAATATTAAATAATTTTTACTTTCTATGTAGTAATTCACATTATCAAGTATGCAGTGATTCAAATGTAAATCACATATGAATAACATATGCATCACATGTAAATCACATGTGATTAACATGTGAATCATATGTAATTTGTATGTAAATTACAACTGAATTACATATGAATTTTTTGTGATACACATGCAAATCACATGTGATTAACATATGAATCACATGTAAATTATAAAATTATTTTGAACAGCGCCAAGATGTTAATATATCAAGTATACAGCTCTCTATACAGAAAAAAAAGTTTACCAAAAAGTATATTAGAAAAACTTGCATTTGTTAAACTTTAATGAAAACTCTTATATTAAAATTATATTATTGAATACTAAATAAATTATTTACTATGTAAATAATTTTAAATTAATTTTTCTGTATGCAGTTATTGTATGTTGACCATGTTGAATTTGATGGGCAATATGCTGCTCGTCTACGTCCAGCAATAAAAAGCTGGAATTCTCACAAATTGAGTCAGAGAGAAAAGCGTGAGATTGAAGTTGGGATGTTTGGAACCGGAAAGGTTCTTCAAAGACTACAAAATACAAAGGATAAAAAAGTTGAGGTAAAGATCTTAATATTATACATTTATGTTTAATTATTATTAAATTTAGTTAAGAAAACATTTTCTATTTGAATGATATGTTTATTTAGAAATATATTTTAAATGTAAAAATCATAACTAATTTTACATCTCATTTACATCTTAATCACATATTATTCATATGTGAATGAATTATAACTTATTTTAATATGTTAATTTTTATATTAATATATTGTATTATATTTTTTATATGCAGGATTACTTGTCAAGTTTGGGAAACTTGTTTGAATCAATTAATGTGAAAAAGAGTAAAATGTTGATGAAACTTAAGGAGGCTCTTTTGAAATATCCAAGTGATGAAAATTTGAAAGAATGGAAAAACATATTATTTGATTTTGTTTTTGTTCCCAAAGATTTTTTTGAGGAAGACACGATGGAGAATTTAATTGATAGTTTTGAACATATTGATGGACAAATTGTTCAGCATTTATTGGGAAGAGAGCAAAGTCAACATGAGCAAATAGATGCCGAATTTGATCCTGATGAATTTTTGGTGAACGAGATAGATTGTAATTTTAAAGAGGGAGGTAAAAAAGAGGGAGGAGAAAAAGGAAAAGTTTGTATATATGAAGAAAGAAAGAAGGATATTGTTTTTGAGTTGACAAATACAATTTGTCAAAAACCACTATTTATATATAAAAGAAGAGAGAAATCTAAATTGGCAGCAAATCAAAAAGTTTTTCAAGCATCTTCTGCAGTTGATACACTTCAAACATCTTCTGTAGTTGATACAATTCAAGAATCTTTTGCAGTTGATACACTTCAAACATCTTCTGCAGTTGATACACTTCAAACATCTTATGTAGTTGATACAATTCAAGAATCTTTTGCAGTTGATACACTTCAAACATCTTCTGCAGTTGATACACTTCAAACATCTTCTGTAGTTGATACAATTCAAGAATCTTTTGCAGTTGATACACTTCAAACATCTTCTGCAGTTGATACACTTCAAACATCTTCTGTAGTTGATACAATTCAAAAATCTTGTGCAGTTGATACAATTCAAACATCTTCTGCAGTTGATGAGATTCAAACATCTTCTGCAGTTCATACAATTGAAACATATTCTGCAGTTGATACAATTCAAACATCTTCTGCATTTGTTCAAGAACAATATGCAAAAAAATTAAAATTTGTTTATAACAAAAATAGAATTGTTGATGTCATTGTTGATGTCAAATCAGAATTAACTCAAGAAGAATTAATGTAATCTTAAAAGAATTATTTTTATTTTTATATATACAGTGATGCAGTTATTATCTCAAAGTCTGGAATAGAAATAGAAAGAGCCGTGATGGAAAGTTTGTTTGCAAACATGGAACTTTTTTCTAGTGTTATTGACTCATGGTCAGATCTGCTAAATCATATTGAGCTTCAAAAGAATAATCAGTCTTCACTAAACAGAGTTTTCTGCAAAACAGGAGTGACTGTAAGTATATATAAACACAATATTTTAATCAGATGCATATGATTCTCCATCTGTTATATGTAAATCACATATGTGATTTACATGTGTTTCACATATAATTCATATGTGATTTACATGTGAATCACATGTAATTCATATGTGATTTACATGTGAATGACATATGTGATTTACATGTGATTCACATGTAAATGACATATGTGATTAATATGTAAATGACATATGAATTACATGTGATTTACATGTAAATCACGTATGAGTTTCACATGTAAATCACATATGAATTACATGTGATTCACATGTAAATCACATATGAATTACATGTGTTTCACATGTAATTTACATACAAATTAGATGTGATTCACTTGCAAATCACATATGTGATTTACATGTAAATCACATATGTGAATCATATGTAAATCATATATGTCATTTACATACAAATTACATGTGTTTAACATTTAAATCACATGCAATTTACATACAAATTACATGTGAATGTGATTCACATTTAAATCACATATGTGATTTACATACAAATTACATGTGTTTAACATTTAAATCACATGAAATTTACATACGAATTTACATACAAATTACATGTGTTTAACTTTTTTTGTTTTAAAACAACTAATGTTTAAATTTATATACTGTTTCTGTTTCAGAATTTCTATATCACTTCAACAACAATGGATGATAATAAAAAATATAAAATTTTTAAAAGTAATTTTTGAATGTGATATTGGTGAAGACAAGAATAGAAGAAATCTGCAAGGAATTGATTTGGTATGTTATAAAACTATTTGTTATTGATAATTTTATTTTGAATTATATTTTATTTAATTATAATATTAAAAATAAAATGCAAGTGTTCTTTCCTATTGTTCAAGGTTTTCATATATATGTTATTGTGTTCAATTTATCTAAAACAAGTATAGATGTACTTGACAACAGTACAGCTGGTGAAAATGATTTTGAAGGAAGATATGGTAATATGGTTAATAATCTTGTAAGTATACTTCAAATTTTTTCTAATTTTTTTTAATTATATTTTTTATATTTATATATCTAAATTTTTTATATCTTTTTAATTAACAGAAAAAAAAAAAGTTTGGTTTATATCTTAATGATATTAACCATTCAAAAGCAGAAGAAATGAGTGATGAAAACCTTATGGCTAAAAGAATTAGAATGATTTGGCGAACCAAAAAAAATAAAGTAGATTGTGGAGTGTTCACGATGCGGCATATGGAGACCTATATGGGAGAAAAAGATGGGAAATGGAATTCTGGATTTGGAAAAGAAAACCGTGCTAAAAAAGAAACTCTAAATTTTCTTAGATGTAAATATGCTGCAAAGTTGATATTATCTGAAACTAATGAAATTGCTTCCAAGATTCTTGAGCTTGCAAAAGAATACAACAAGGTTGAAGAAAGTGTAAGGAAAAGGGAAAGAGATATGGCTAATACAATGATTAAACAAAGATTAGAGAGTATATAGGAAGCTCAAAAATTTTATATTAGATAGGAAATACATTTCTTTTTAAAAAAAGTACATTGCTATTTGTATAAAACAGTTGATATAGAAATCAGAATGAATTATATTTACTTTTTAGTCCATAACAGGAAGCACTCTTTTTTTGTTGATGCAACAGTAGTCATTTATCCATGTAAACTTGATGAGTGGGAAAAGGGTTAAAATTTTCATTTAATTCTAATAATATTAATATAACAAAAACAATATGGTTATGTGTTAGGAACCATTGATTCATATGTTAAAAACATATTAGTTACCTTTTTAATAATATTTTAGTTATTAAGGCATTAATAGAAAATTCAGATTAGTAATAAAAAGGATTGATTTTAGTCCTAAAATGTGTATATTATTGAAATGTAAATTACAAATGAATCACATATAAATTACATTTATTAAAAATCAAAACTTGAAAATGAAGAGAATTTAAAGTTTAATTACAAGTAGAGCGTATTATTTTAAGGATATATTATGTTATACGCCAATATGCCTATTATTGTTATCATTATGTGATTCATATGTAAATCACATATGAATTACATATGATTCACTTGCAAATCACATATGTGTTTAACATTTAAATCACATGCAATTTACATATGTCAAAAATCATAAATTTAGCAACTTAATACAGATAAACAACCAAAAACAACCACCAATATATGGATATTTCATATCGATTCACACAAAAACTTATTTATTAGAGTATATAATGTTTGCTAAAAAAAACAAGTAATTAAATAATTATTTCAACACCAATAACCCCTACAAAAATCAAGATTCACAACAAAATCCCATATACAGCATTTAAGTTAAATATCAGAAGAAAAAACTATTTCTAAATGTTTATTTTACACAAAGAAATTGAAATTCAATACCAACATATTATAAATTAAAGCCTAATAATTTTAAAAAATGTTACTTATAAATTTTATTATTTTTAAATTAACATATACAATTGAAATTTTTTAATATAAAATGAAAAAATGTAAAATAAATAATAAATAAGAAAGTAAAACTATAAAACAAGCTATAGGGTTAAATATTTTTTATTTACATGTTGTCAAAATTTATGGTCAAAGTTTTTAATTAAATAAAAAACTGGATGTAAAGTTAAAATATTTAAAAAACACGGGGGTAATAATGAAAATGGAAAGAAACTGGTTCATTTTCGAACATAAATACTTTATGTTCCCTATAAAACTTTTTCTATCTATCTGTCTCTCTCTGTATCTTTGTCTCTTACTCCATACTTTCTGAAGTAAAAACCCTAATTCCTCAAAAAAAAAATCCATAAATCTTCTTTGATAATTGTTGAATCGAAAGGAAAAAGCTTTAATAGAATCAAAAATGTCGCCAACTAGAAAAGATGCTTCTTATCAAGGTAAAAAAAACTATGTATTATATAATTTTTTTTAATCGTAAATCAACTTTACATCCATAATGAGTTTGACTTACCAGATTTCGGAATCCAAACTGTTATTGAAAGATTTAAGTTAATAAAATTTAGTTTTAAATGTGATATAGTGTTTTTATTGACTTTTTTTTTTATTTTTTCATTATATTTTAAAGATCGTTTATTATTATATTTTGACCGTTGAAAATGACTTTAGTAATCTCGATTTATACATGCATATGAACCAAAAATAGGAAATATTATCTTTTTATGTTTTTAACGATATATGATTTTTTTATACATAACAGACAAAAATAAAGAAGAAAATGTTGAAAAGGAGAGTACTTTGAAACGATTCACAAAATCAACAGCGAGAAGGATATTTCAAAAAGGTATTTTTTGATGTATAATAAATTGATTTGTTTTTATATGGAATTTTGTGATTATATATATGCTTATTCATACCAGAGAGCCCTAAACCAAACGAAAAAAGAGTTACTGAAGAAAAAGAATCATCAAAGAATGTACCTGAACAAAAAAGTTCTCAGAGGAGAAGAAAGAGAAAAGCTGTTTCTTTAACAAGAAAGAAAAAACTTGATCAAAATCAAGATTCTGAGTCTCAAAAAAATTAGATAAAGAGAAGTAAAAAGAAAAAAATAAATAAAGAATTTGATACAATCCGAAACTGGTATACCTTTATGATTAAACTATAAATTATGTTTTAAACCAAATGTGATTTAACATTTATTATAATAAAAAATGTTTTACTAAAAAATGAAATTTGAAATTGAGTGATCATATATTATAGAAGACAACTTTCTGAAATCAATCAGATATGATTAGACTGGTGGTTTTCATGTGTTCAAATGTTATTAAGAAACATATAACGAAATACCCATTGTTTTGTCTTTTGTGTTTAGGGTAAAATGAAAAAAAAAAAACAAGAATGTAATAATCAGATCTGAATCACATATGAATAAGAATGTGTTTTATAGTATTATATTTTTGCAATTAGAAGAAGCATTGATAGTTTGTTATATTTTTAATATATATAATTTTAAATGAATTATATGAATAACAATGTGTTTTATAGTTTGTTATATTTTTATTAAATGAATTATATATCAAATATATGTAAGAAATACATTTTATTTACATTACAGATGAATCAAATTATAATTTACATAATATTTAAATGAAATTTTATAATTAATAACATATTAGTTTGAAAAGGACAATACCTTATAATGTACTTTAAAGTTTTAGTTAAAAAGTAACTAATTTTGTTTAATGAAATATAAATTAAACTAATTAATTAATTGTTGTATTTGATAATAGGTGCTCACCTGGATCTTTGTTATCTGTTATACAAGGATTCAGTGATGTTCAAAAGGATTGTGTTAGAAAGATGGGTTTTGGCGATATTCTAAAGATGAAAATGATAGATGTGCCAGGGGCATTAAGTTGTTTTGTTCTTCAGAAGTTTAATTCAAAAACAAAGAAAATTGTTATGGAAGGAGGTGTGATTGATGTTACTAGAGAGTCAGTCAATCAAATACTTGGATTTCCATTAGGAAAGACAAAATTTTCAAGTCTCCCATTTAGAATTGCAGATGATAACAGTTATGAGAAATGGACAGAACGATTTGATAACAAGAGCATTATTCGACTGAAGGAGATAAAGATGAAAATTGTTTCGAGCAACAAATCAGATATGAACTTTAAGCTGAATTTTTTAGCATTGTTGATTAACTCTTTGATTGAAACAAGTTCATCTGGCAAGCAAACATCTACCCAATTCGATACATAACGAAAAAAACAGAAATAAAAAACATTGACTGGTGCTCATATTTGATAGACAGTTTAGTTAAAACCAAAGAATCTTTTGATCAGTCCTCTTCGACAGCCTTTTTAATGGACCATCTGCTTATTTAGTGGTATGTATAATAACTTAAATTTTATTTTAATATTTTGTAATCAAATTTTAATCTCAATATTTATAGCTATAATCATATATGATTATAAAAGGAATTTTATTTGGTCAAATATAATTTTCATATTTATAACAGATGTTCAAATTGAAAATTTATTTTTTATTTTGTAGTTACTTTATGTAGATAGAGTGAGTTCTGAAGTTTTAAAAGTTAAGAGAACACGTCTAGTCATATGCCCTGGACTACAGAGAAGGTTAAGATGAGAGAAGATTATGAGAAAGAAGAAATTGGTGAATTTGGAACAGGGGAATTGAATGAAGAATTCATACAAGAAGAATTGAATGAGGAGGTAAATTTAATAATAATAATAATAAACATTCATTGTTTGATAGTTGTAATATTTTATTATTTATGTTTATATAAACTTTAAATTATTTTTGGTTTAGGATTATCAAGAAATGATTCTGATGAAGTGTAGAAAGTTAAATTTGTTGATTAAGAATGGAATTAGTACTTTCTCACAAAATGTGATATTAAATCATTTGGAAAGTAGTTTCGTAGAAATTTTAAATGATGAGGTTGGAGATGATGAAGATAATGAAGATGATAAAGGTGATGATAATGAAAAAAATCAAGGTGATAATGATGATCATAATAATCAGAAAGTTAATGATGATGATGTTGAATGCTGTGAAAATAATCAAGGTGGATATATAAATGATGTACAAAAAAGTTTATTGGAGGCAAAAGCATTCAAGGAGAAGGTAAGGAAATCGAAATATTATTTATTAAAAAATATTTAAATTTATGAATCATATGTAATAATTACTAAATCACATATGTTTTTTTAAAATATATTTGTATAATGAGAATTGTGTTCACTTTTGGAATAGGAGAAGAGATCAAAAAGAGGAGGTCTTCAAGAATCAGTAATATGGTGAAGGAAATTCCACAAAATGTTGAATCTGTTGCCAAAGTTGCCAAAAGATCTTCTTCTTTAAAGAAGTACATAAAAGACAAAAATGTCCCTCGTTGTGAAAAAGAAACTGCAGCAAGAGGAAAAGATGTTGAAATGCAGGAAACAAATGATAAGAAAGTAGAGGATCCTGTGAAAGACAAAAATGCCCCTGTGAAAGTCAAAAAACGACAATATTTAAAAGGGTGTAAGTTATATTACATATTTATGAATAACATATGTTTGATTATTACAAATTATTAATAAAATTTTTTAATTATATTCAGGTGTGGAAGGAAATAATGCTGATAAAGAAGAATATTTTTTTTTAATAAGCATCTAATGTTGACACAAGGAAAAAATGAGTATGTATTTCTAAATTATTTGTATTGTTGAACAAGGTAAAAATGTAGTGAAATTATGAACTTCAAAAATGTTGTTTTTTGAAATAGAACTTTGTATGAATGAGATATTTTATTAATCACATATTTTATTCATATGTGACTGTAAATGTTAATGTCAATTAGACATCATTCATGTGTTACTTTTGAATCACATATGAATGACATATTTGATTCAAAATATTATTTATTAATTCATTTCATATTATTTATTAATTCACATCTTATTCAGTGTATAATTCAGATAAGAATCACATGTGATTCAGATGTGATTAGGATGAGAATCATATGTTATTCAAATGTAATCAGATAAGAATCACATGTGATTCAGATATGGTTAGCACATGTGATTCAGATGTGATTAGTATGAGAATCATATGTTATTCAGATTTAAATCAAATATAATTAGCTTGTGTTTTGTATGTAATTTATATATACTCACATGTTATTTATATAGTATCCACAACCAATTCATATATAATTCACATCTGAACAAAATATGTGATTTAATATTACCTTTGAGATGCATATACTCAGTCAATATCAATTGCATTTATTTTCTTTATAAATTCCAGTGTAACTATTTCAAGCCCAATTTCTCCCTATTTTCCCCTCCATTGACCCACATTTGAGCTTTTCCCATCCAATTTCATATCTAAAGCTACTCGCTAATTTCCATCTGGCGCATTGAATGTAGTCTAAAAGTAAAATTATAAAATATATTAATAAAATATTATTGTTATCAATATATCTTAAAATGTTAAAAAAAGTATTAACTAGAATAAAAAGTATTACATGTATCTCATATGGTTTCTTTTTCTGCTTCTTGTTTCTTTCTTAATTCATCTTCAATTTTTTTTGGACAATTTCTTCTGTCATGCTTTTCATTTGGAGTGATTTTCTTTTCACAATAAGAACAAAATCTTGAATTCTTCCCAGCATTTTCCATTGTTATTTCTCTCTGACTCTTAACTCTCTTTCCTGTTGCCCATCCTTTGTATGTAATATCTTTTGGATTCTTTATTGTATGTACATCTGGCTTTGATACTCCAATCATTGAATCCAACTTTTGATTTTTGGTACGATTATCTTTCTTTGGTGGATTTGATTCAACTTTGGTTAGAATTTCTTTTTGCCATTGAAGAAATGAGTCATTGCTTCAGCATCATGTCCAATAATATTGATACATTCTGTGACTATAGAATATGCATCTTGTATCATTCTTTCGCATCCACTAATATTGTCAGCAATACCATGACTTTTTATCAATTCGTTAGGTCTTATTATACTTTTCTGCCATCTTCTCAACATATACTTTGATGGTATATTTTTTAAAAAATTTGATTTCATAACACATAGTATATGTCTGCACAAAATTCCATATTGTTCGAATACTAGGCAAGAACATTTATATGTTTCTTCATTTGGAAATACCTTAACCTGGAAAATATTTATACAAGACACATGTTAATTATATTGTTTTTCATTTAAATTTATAATATTTCATAACTTAATCAAATAAAATTTTTCATTTTAATAACAACTGAATTAATTGTTCATCAAATTAAATTCAGATTTTAATCACAGGTAATTCACATATTATTTACATGTGATTCACATGTAAATCATATCTAATTCACATATGATTCACATATGATTTACATGTGATTCAAATATAATTTACATGTGATTCACATATGATTTACATGTGATTCACAAATGAATAAATTGTATATCAGATTAAATAACATGTAATTCACATATTACTTAATCTGTTTTACATATGATTTACATGTGAGTCACAAATGAATAAATTGTATATCAGATTAAATAACATGTAATTCACATATTATTTAATCTGTTTTACATATGATTTACATATGATTTACATGTGATTCACATATGATTCACATGTGAATCACATATAATTCATATGAAATACATGTGATTCATATGTAATTCACATATAATTTACATATGAATCACATTTGATTCACATCTAAATAACATGTAATTCACATGTGATTTACATGTGATTTATATGTGATTGACAAGTAAATCATATGTGATTCACAAATAAATAAATTGTATATCAGATTAAATAACATGTAATTCACATATGAATTTCATTCATAAATAAAGTTATTTAATAACATACATATACCTGGTATTGAAATTGCTTTATGTTGTGACTTTTGAAAATATATGAATTTTTGTTGAAGAACACACTTCTGTTTTGTATATCTTCATCCATTATTTGCTCAATAATAAAGTATGTGTTATGATCTTGAACTCTCTTATATGGTGTGGCTGAGCATGTCTAGACAGAATCTTCTATTCCTTTTTGAAATAATTTGAATATATTATGTGTGTAGAACTTTGATGCATGTACTTCAAATTGAAGATTTGTTTGAATTGGTGGGTTTTTATTTTTGGAATTAAAGTCATTTGTTGATTGAAGATTTCTTTGCTCATCCATTGCAGATTCAAATTTGCACATGAACATAATTAGATTTGAATCTTTTGACATAAATCTTTTGAAGAAGCTATTTACACTCTCTGATCTTGATGTTGTCCTCATCAGACCCGACAGTGCAGTGTCTCTAAAATAAGCCGGAATCCAACTTGTTCGAATATTATACATCTCTTTCAGCCATTTTTTATCTTCTAGTTTATATCTTTTTATTAGATACTTCCACTTTTCTTCAAATATATCTGGATCAATACAAGAATTCCAAATTAGACCTTGCATTCTTTTTCTAAAGTTAGTCTCATTTATTATTTTTGCAGAAACCTACAAAAGAAAAAGTTACATTTAATAAATAAACTGAAAACATGATATTTAATGTTCACATGTGAATGTTGTTTTAGTATTATAATAACACAGGTGATCAACTACACTTTTGGTGACAATACAGAGTTGGCTATAAAGTATGTTTTATTTTCATATTTTTGTCCCCTTTATACAACTTGATTTTCTTCCTTAATACATTTATCAAGTATGTAGTGATTCACATGTAAATAACAACTGAATCGTATATGAATCACATGTAAATCACATGTTATTCACATATGAATCATATGTAATTCATATGCAAATTACAAGTGAATCACATATGAATCATATGTAAAAATCAAATGAATAATTGGCCATATATCAAGTATGTAGTGAATCATTGGTCATAATACATTGGATGCTTTATTTTAATTTTTTTTTTGAAAAAAAAAATACAGGCCTGTATGCATGTCTGTATACAGCTCTGTATACAGTTATATAAACAGATCCCAAAAGTTCAATGCTTTCATCTGTGAATGAATAAATGAGACATTAAAAAAAGTTTTTAATCAAATTATAAGTCAAATTATAAATGAAAACTTATTTAAACATTATAATACAAATTTACCTTATCTGTTAATTTCTTTCCAATGTGCCACATGCAAAGACGATGAGTTGATTCATTAAAAACGGTTTCTACAGCTTTAGCCATAGCTGAATCTTGATCAGTGACCACAACATTAGGTTGTGTACCAAAGCATTTGAGCAGGCATGTATAGAATTCTGTTGTTTCTTTAGCTAGCAAACCAGCACCAATTGTGACACATCTTTTGTGGTTATAAATTGCAGTAAATGGAACAAAGATCATATTATATCTGAAAATCATTAAAATATTTAACATAAATACTAAATGGAAATATTTTAATATATAAATATTAAAGAAATTAAGTATTACTTACTTGTTTGTTTTGTATGTAGCATCGAATGATACCACATCAGAGAATTCTTTGTAGTTTCTTTTTGCTATTGCATCTGCCCAAAACAGTACCCTTAGCTCATCATCCTTCAACAAGTAATAAAAAGTGAAAGAAGGCACATTTTTACGTCGTTGTGTTAAAAGATTTATCAACATATTTGCATCACTATCTCCTATATAGCAGTTTAAGTCTCTTGAAAAAATTTTGTAGTCGATTTTCTTTGCTCCTTGTTTACTGTAACCACCCTTTAAACCAGTAACCATGCTATGTGCTTTGCTTGCTCCTATATTTGATGTGCTTAACTGAGTTATAATTGTCTTGTCATAATGATCCAACTTTCTTTTCGACTTTGACATGTGCACTGTACTGTTTGTGTAGAGCTCATGGTTGTGTTTTTCAACAAATGTATTAATGAAAAACCGATCAATAATTTTTATAAATTTGAAACATATCTTTGCTTCGCAAGACATCATTTGGCTTGGATGTTTTCTTTTTTTGTCTGCCTTCTACTCCATTCAAAGTGTCAGCATTTTTTTTATCTGGTTCACCAGCCCTACTACATATAATATACTTGTATTGTAAAATACCATTAATAGTTTTACTTGATGCAAGTCTGCAATCAAATCCTGCTTTCTTTGCATATATTTGGTAAAAATGAATTCCATGATCTAATGTTTCAAACACCATATCTTTATTTGGCAGGAATGATTCATCAACTCTTGGGATCCACTCAATTGTTTTTGTGCTACAAGGAGATTTTACTTCTATGCAGCTTAATTTATCTTCATCTTCTGATTCAAAATGTTTTGCTGCAAATTAAATAATATTAAATCAAATCATATATAGGAAAACATGTCATTTAAAATCAAACTAATATTTTAGTTACAATCAAGATTAATATTAATAGAAACTTACCTTCTTCATTATCATTCGACTGCGATGTCGAAGAAATTTGCTCATCCTCTTCAATAATATCTTTGAAAAATGCATCTTCAACATGTATATCGTCATTGTTTATGTTAAATTCAGTATATTCTTCATCAGCATCACCTATTAAAATCATATATTTATTTATCATCAGTGTATGTAAATCACAAGTGTATTACATGTGAATTCATATGTGAATTACATGTGAATTACATGTGATACACATGTAAATCACAAGTGTATTACATGTGAATTCATATGT